TTGCAGGTAATTATACACTTGGGTTGGACCAAACAAATACAAATGAAACAAGAAAATTTTAGAGTCTTCAAATGCAGTTGAAAAATGTGTAGTAATTCCCCACAAAAGTGGCTCATTAAAAAGGGATTAGGAACCAGTTAATTTTCTTTGTTGAATTGGCCATGAGAAGGGTAGGGGGTCACTCAAATCTTCATTATCTTACCTGTGCACCCAATGAGTCATCGCCACTGTCATGGATTCTCTGATTTTCTGATGAACTGTCATTGGCTGTCTGATGGATACTGGATGTTGGCTGCACTGACTCCTGAGCAAAACAATAAAAATAAAAAATACTGATTATTTTCTCCATTTTTGTCACCTTTTAAAATACAGGCCTTATATACCCCCTTATCCAATTTCTGCTGTGCCCACTCCCACACGAAGAAACACACTGTGAAGGGGAGAAGGGAATGGGAATTAAAAGCTATAAGCCATGAGTGTTTTCCTAAAATGGTGGGTGTTTTACAACAGGGGACAAATGAATCCCCATTTCCATGTTTCCAAAACAGTCGTGTACAGAATACACAAGTTTTTCCAAACACGTATAAACAAGATAAAAATAGAGGACCCTAACTGCAAGTAAACTGACTTCCAATTAGGGATCTTCTGATCAGTTTGCAGGTAAACATACACTTGGGTCAGGCCAAACGAGTATGAACTCATGTAGAAAAGATACATTTGAATGAGTAGTGTGATTGAATAATTATTAAGCAACTACACGTACACTGTAAGTAGAGGTTATGTAGTAAAGTAGATACATGTAGTAATGTTTTACAGCACAACCTTACATGCATGTCTTAAAGTATAAAATGGATTGAAATGCCTAATTACATACATTTCTCCAGGGTAAATCAGCCACTCCATAGTCATAACGCAGTTCCTCATCAACATCAATGTCACACAAACTGAAGAGACACAGGTGAGGTGTCCGATCATGGAACACCATCTTCTTCATGATGCAGTTGGGGGTTTTCCAGTCATCATTTATCCACCTTGCCAGGCATGTACTGTCGAAAGCATCAATGCTATGAATAAAATGAATAAAAATGACTCACAGAAAAGGTTTTGTGAGAACCTGCTGGTGTATTAATTAAGTTGAAACAGCCAAAGATGATTTCAAGTGCCTTCAGCATTCATGGTTTTAAAGCCTAATATTTTGCTGCTATTTACAAAACTTTCTCTTTCACTCCAGTTGTTCTTTCCATCAAATTAAATTACGTGCTCATGCACTGAAATTATTTTATATTTTGATAAAATAATCAAGCCATCTCCATTGATTTTGGAAACAAACTTGGATGTTTGAAAGCAGGCCTTGATCTTTACCGTGGCCACCGCGGCCATTGGCCGCGTGCCCTTTAAAGTTGGCCGTAATGCCCTTCCAAAAAACTCACATCACGCGGCCACCTTGGCCAGTGTGCCCTTCCCCCTTTGCAGCCAGCTGTATGTGTAATGAGAGTGTACCATGTAAGCCAATGCATGCAGTGCAATTCCAAATTAGGGCGAGTTCAACCTTTTGAGCTGCGTTCGAGCGAACTACTCCTGCTCACCCGAGTACCATCCTAAGTGCATGAATGGCAGGAGTACCGTCCTTGGCTGAGCGAGAGTATACTCCCCATCACAGAGAATCAGGAGTATACGCCTGACCCGAGTGTAATGCTCGCACATCCACACTCGGGTTATCGGGAGTAGCCACGCGAACACAGCCTTGGATATCATTATAAGCGCAGCACCGGCGATGAGCGTATTTTGAATGCAAATTTGCACAACTAAGTTGGAAACCAGGCGAGCGCTTATTGCGTTGGGATTTGACCATTTGCTGGACCTACATGTACATGTAGGCCTATATCTCAAAATCATGCCGTCGCAATTGCACGATCGTATAAAGAAACGCTACAAGGATACTTTCTTACGGGAGGGCTCAAAGTGCCAGAAGCTTGAAAACATGTTTTCCAGAAAAAAAGTAGGGATCAAGTATTTATAAAATTGCAAACTTCGGCAAAATTGGCACTCAGTCTTGACTCGAAAAAATGTAATGACTTCGAACTCCTTTTTTTATATCTCCATACTTCGAAATGCCGACATGTGCTGCTTATCGATTTACTGCGTGCTGCCTTAATACGATTCGTATAATGCATTGCACCAGTTTAATTGCTTTGATCTGCCCTGGTTTATTTCTATCTCTGTTGTCGAGTTCAGGTAAGTTTGTCCTCGATTTTGATCATCGCTCTGTCCGTACTAAGGACGACCTGTGCATGCTGTTGATACTGACATAATGCTAGCAAGCACAGCTCAAATGTCATGCACTGGCACGGCGTGTGTGTGCACGCGGGATCTTGGGGGGCCGGTCGTAAGTAAAACTTCGTTCAATAGGGTGACCCCCAAACGGGACAGTGCGCATGCGCGTGCACTAGCATGACTAGGGGGGTACTGGTATTGATGTGAATATTGGGGAAACCCCTTTGTGGTCGCGCTCGCACACACGCAACGTACAGTGAATACATGTATGTACATGTAATGTACATGTATGATGTAGGCCTACTCCACATCAGTATCGACAACGAAGCTCAGGAAATCGATTGTTTGCTTACAGCCCACTTTATACCAAGGATTTTTTTGTGGTTTTGTTGAAAAGGAACCGAGAGAACATGCCGACTTGAATGAAATGACGGCTTATAAAGGCCCACTTAAAAATTATCAATGGAAATGCATCAACACACGATTGGTACTTAGTTGCACGATGCCAACTTGACCAGAGTTTTCCATAACCATTTAGCAAACAGTAAACATTTTAAAAGGATCCCCATTTCATTTAAATAAAAGGATAAACACTATTTATTATATTTTAACCTTAGTTTAAGCGGGTTAGGAATCCTTGAATTCTAATGGGAAAGGGATACAAAATCTAAGCAAGCATTAAATCAGAGGCTGGATTCGGAATGAAAAAGTCATCCGGGTAATTGTAATTAATTAAAAGTGAACATTACAATTTTATACAGGGAATGCGACAAATAATAGCAGCATGATAAACGCCTTTAATTGAAAGGGGATGGCGTGGTGTACAAGAACTGAATAGCTTATAGGCCTACTCATGACATGACTGGTTGTCAAAAATGTAAATCAAGGGTTTCAAAATAATTGGCCTTGGTACCCCCTTGAGCTGGCCTGGTGCCCTGTTGAAATTCAATGAAGGCAAGGCCAAAGTGGCCTGCCCCTTTTTTCCCCAAGATCGAGGCCTGTTTGAAAGTGAAAGCAGTGGAACATGTACATGAATTAGTCTTAAAGAACGTGTTGTGATGTTTCTTTTATATGCAGATACAGCCTTTCCACTACGAGCTACACATACAGACTATATGAGGCACCTGACCATAACTGTTTAGATCAAATGGGCACATCTAAACCTTGCTTATGCTGTAAGCAGGGAATTCACATCAACTTGTAGGAAGTAAGAAATCAAAGGTTTTCAACCAAACACATGCCTTCAATATTTTACAGTAGATGTGGTTGCATGTACATTGTACATGTACTTCTTGATGGCAAAATGTTTGCAATGAAGCAAATCAAATAATCATATTACGATAGTATAAAAAACAACAACAAAAATTACCTGTAGGTTACATTATTGTGTTTGAAGTGGAATTGGAATGTGTTATCGTCCTCCTCTTTAGACGGTGCTAAGGAGCCCCTATACTCCAAAAGAAATTGGCCTTTACCAAAGGGCTTGGTCGTAAAGATGCCATGGCCTAAGAATTCAAACATCAGAATTATGTATTAGAAATCCATGCACATAGCTTGGAGTCACGTAAATAAAATCACTTAGGAACCAGGGATTATAAATGGACACACACAGACATAATTAAAATAAACGTAGCAGCCTGTATTTCAGTCACAAAACTTTGGGACCTCAAAAATCAAGTAAAATTTTAAAGTGATTTTCCATCAGCCTAATTTGATAGTACACATAAATGCATTTGAAGATAACCAAGAGTACTTTCTCCAATGTGACATGGTAAAACTGACTTACTGAAAATTTCATCTCAAAACTTACATGTAAATACATCGACTGTTTAAGATGTAGGGGGGGTGTGAAGATCAAAGCATTAAATTTAAGTAGAAATATGATTTTTGACTGAACTTGAAGAACCCACCAGCAGCAATTTTTAAGACGCAGTTCTGCAATCTCACCTATATGTGCACTGACAAATCTTTTTTCAAACCCCTCCTGGTCTTCAGAAAGCGCACACCATTTGTTTGCAGCTTGATATGGGGACACTCTTGGTCTTTTTTGAAAGGCCATGTTGGTACATGTAAACCTGTATTACCAAACAACAGTTATAAATAATGTTATTAATTACAAAATAATACAACAAAAACCATGACAAGCTGATAAATGCAAAAATGTATTTTGTGTCCGCTTCTTTGTCACAGCTCAGGCACTGTCTTTATTTGTTGAAACTACATGTAAGAACCACACACTGTTTACTCATGTATTTGAAGACTGAATTCCCTACATATATTCTGATTGTAACAGAATGATCATTTCTTGCTTAGCAGCTAAATGACCATAACATGGACATGTACATTTAGTACCCACTGATTTATGGACGTTAATTTGCAACTGTTTACTCTCATGAATTGAATATACAATACAGTACTCATTCAATGACTTTGTGTTGGTCAATAAGGAATTGTACACAAACTTTCACACTGAAAGCATTCCTTTAAAAGAATGAGAAATATTTTCAGATGAACAAATATATTGTTTTACTATAAAATCAAATTTATGTTTATTGCAATTAATTGAAATTCACATGACCCCAACAGTACATAATACTAAAAATTACGACTTAGTAGTAAAATGTACAGGGGCAGTTCCACGGAAACATCAACCTCTTGGCCAAAATTTAAAACTCGTCCAAATGTGACAAATTATATATCATTTTGAAGCTTATGATGTACACTTTCATGAAACATACTTCATTTCTAACAACATTCAAGAATTTGGCTTTTATATGATACTGAAAAATTGGTTTTAAATACCGAGAAATTGGGGAAAATATTGCCTGATAATAATTTTTCTCCAGTTTTGTTACAGTTTGTAGAGTGCCCCAATAAGTAAACAATGAGAGAAATGAATTTTCATTTTCCTTTTGAAATTCTATGTAATGTCTCATTTTATAACACTTACTTTTCTTATGTACATGTACGTTCGACACCAAAATGACATACATGTAGTTTTTTATCCCCTCAGTGTACCCTTTAGCAAAAGACTGCCAAATTTACAATACAAAGCACGATGAGTTTCTTCTTATATATTTGAGTACCAAATAGGCTTCGCTTTTGTTTTTTAATAATTTACATAAATTGACTATTTGGACATACACATCCTAATAAGGTTATAATTACGGCTCAAAACCATTCCACATGTGTTATATGTGGACAAACATGTGCTTTGCATATATTCAGAAGTAAGTTGTCAGTGTGAGCTTTGATGATGAGTTCTAGGTGTTGTATACATGTTCATGAACGTGTAATCCACATCAAGAAAGAAGAATTGTCAAAGACTAAACAAAGGTGTGGTTTTTTATACCTTTGTTCAAGGTACATGTAAAATCAATTGGTTTCACTTTGTGTTGCTTGAGGAATTAAAGGGGGTGTTCCACTTGTGTATGCTTTCCATGGCATAGACATGTACATGTACAGTACCTATCATGAAACATACATGTACTATGTAAGACTGTAGTTTTAAAAGCATTATGTAGTTAGTCTTAAATTTCAGTGGAAAGGATAATCTCTCAGCCTAATTGCTAGTCCATTCCTTTGATTTTTCAATCATCTAAAAGGGTATATACATCTACTCATTTAGCTTCTTTTTGGATTTTACATTTGTACTATAACCTGTGAAGTGTGAACTGGAAATCTTTAAAATTGCATTTTAGTACACATGCAGCATTTGTCATACAAAAATGTTTAATTTTATTTTCTAAGACCAAAAGATCTTACAGGTACATGTATGCAATTATCTTTTAATTTGATTTATCTAAAGAATTGTCAACTGTAGAAAACTTTTTTAGTTTGAATGTTTGACACTACATGACTTGCTTAAATGAGCAAAATTTGCATAAATACTTCTAGACAATATTTTCCTTCATACTGTTTCACTGAATGCCTCATCATGCAATTCCTTTCTAGTTGCTTTTGATGATTTTTGTATGGCTTGCCATTTTCTTTTGGTTTGGAAAATTTAGTAAAGCCTTCATGAAGGTAGAAAAATGAGACAAGCTTGTATTTGAACTGATTACCTTCTATTCTGAAAAGTCAGTTTGGATGTGTACGTCAGACACCAAAAAATGTACGTCCGACACCAATATAATAAATGCTTTATCTGAAATCCAAAACAAGATAAAAATGTGTCTTGCCTTGGAGTTTATTAACTAGGGTCTGCTAGGAAAACTACTACTTCAGGTCCTAGCTTTTCACAGAGTTTGTGATACAAAAATGGAAACTCAAAAAATTAACTTTCTCTGAGTACGTCTGACACCATGGTGTTATGAGTCAGTTTCTACAAGGATAATAATCTGAGTGAGAAATTTTGTTATTAAATGAATGTACCAACTAGCTGATGTCTTTAATCAAAATCTGCTTCAAGATTATAACTTTACTAACACACACTGCTGAAGTGTCCAAAATGTACGTCCGACACTGTGGAACTGCCCACATGTACATGTAGTATACAGCACTATCACTTGCAAGAGGACATGACCTTACTGTTCTCTGAAGCCATAAAATACAATAGATAAGACAATGCACCAAACACGTACAGTGCTGTGGCACTATGAATGCATGGTTTTATTGTTCCCTGTACAAGTAACAGAAGTAGTAATTTGCACTGCGATAGGGGTAACTCTGGAAATTAGGGGTCAATTTTTTTTTCATGTCCCTGTTACATCCGACATATGATTTTGTATTAAAGTTAGAACACATTTTCTAATTTTCAAGAGTGATGAATACATTACCTGCCAAACAAATTGTAATAGTTTGAAGTCATTTCTGGTGATATTTCCATGTTTAATCACAAAGGTCAGATGTAATAGGACACTAAAGTGTCAAACTTTTGGACCCCTAATTTCTGGAATTACCCAGAGGTCAGTAGGTACATGTATACACACTGCCATTTACACACATGTGCCCACAAATGTCAATTTTTTCCTTTCTGTTTTACCTTCTTTATTTTACAAATTGTCTCAAGCTGATGACATGCAGGCACATACTTTCTAAAAGTAGGCCTATACGTGTTTTTGTTTTCCTTTTTGATAGATTTATAGGCCCTGAAAGCTTTTTTCCTTGATCTGTTTAACATCAGTAACAATGTTCAGCAACATACATGTAGCCTCTAGGCTTTTATTTTGAACACAACTCAAGTTATTTCCGAAAGCTTTGGTGTTCCTTACCAACAGGCATGATAGGGGTAGATTTTTATATGTTGAGCCTACAAGTCTTTCCAAGTCATGCAAGTAAGCCTCCTAATGATGCTAACATTCTGAACATAGGCAAATGATACTAGGCAGGGGTACTCACCATCAACTGAGGCTGAGCTGAAACTTGATCCTGAGCTAGCCTAATGTTAGGTCTCTTGGTTAATGTTGGGCCAAAGTTTACAGTCTCTCAGCAAGAGTATGCACCTTGCTCACATGTAAATTTACGTCAGGTTACATGTTACATGTACAAAATGGCCTTCATCGTTTCCATACTTATCATGCAGCATGCTTAGCCACTTAGGCCTAGGCAACATCATCACATGTAGTAGTACCGGCAACTACTAGCTGACTAGGGGCCTCCGTCCCCCTCCTACTACTAGCATGACTAGCCTCCGGCCATGAAATTTGAATGACCTAGTTTATTTACGATGTAGGCCTACATAGTACATGTATTTTCAAGACGTATTAGTACATGTAGTCTGCCATGTCTGCTAGTGCTAGTTGTGCAAATGCTTGAATTTGTAAACTGCTTCAATTATTATCACAATCGTCAAAATAACTATCCAGATGAACAGAAAAAATACAGCAATGATCAGACGCCGCACATACTCCTGTAGAACGTGAACTCTTTCACTGTCGAAAATATGGGAAAAGACATATCGAGACGGTGTCGGGTCTGCCATTTTGACGACTAGACGATGATGGTTAACTTAAAAAAAGGCTTACCTTTCGGCATGTAGACCTGTTGGCCACGTGCGAACTGTGGACAATCGATGCGGATGGATGGTATAAATACAGCAAACTGTGGACTAGGTTGACACATTTTCCATGCCATACGCGCCGAAATGTAATACATCTGCACAAATTTTCTCGACAAACCGCGGACTCCATCATGAATTCGTCTCCGCATAATGCGCGCATGCGCATACACGGTTTAACGCAGAGCTGCCACCAGAGGGGGTTTTTGAAAAATCAAAACAATAAAACACTTTGAATATCACCCGATACCTTCAGCGCGCACCCCGATGGTTACCGCGACAGTATCAAAACGCGGACTTCGGCAGATTCACGTAAATATTTTTACAGCGCCCTCATTTGATCATTTTTTCCCTGAAAATATATTGATTTTAATCGGGGACGTCCCCGATTCCTGGGTGTCCCCAGTTTGAAGGTGTGTATTTTGGCGAACGTCCACATTTGCCGGCAAACACAAACG